GGAATAGTCTTATATCAATGAAACCAAGGGAGGAATTTGACAGATATACGTGCTGTAGTTTTATATAAAGACCAAAACTGTATGGGATGGTGGAACATGCAACAAGTGTCCATGGTTGTGAAATAAAAGTCTGTACGGGCACTATTATTATATGGGCGTCGAGGGATTATATAAGTACTGTACGGACGACTAAATCCTTTGGACCCAGAACACCGCCCGAAACACCTTTATTTCCGGAACACCAATATACCAGCGTTCATTCAATGTGGAAAGCGTCAGTAAATGGAGAGTGCCATAGTGTGAAGTCCAGCAGCATCTTGAATGCAGTACCATATAAGATATAGGGATGTCCTGGGGAACTGTTATCTGAACAGTACCCTTTTGCCTGGAGTCCCCTTATTTGAGGAACCCATCTGTGTAAGAGGTAAGAATATCGTGCGGTGTCACTGTATATGGAACATACCGAGGTGTTCGTAGTACTTACATGTGGAGAGTACATACGTCGGTCTTGTATTGGTATTTGAAGAGAGCAAGTGTACTTGGGGTACCATTATTTGTACAATACTGGTGTGGATTCCCATTGCTGATGATGAACGAAGATATATGTGTACTATTATTATAATGGGACTAATATCGTCCATGTAGTAGTGTATGTGAAACATTCCGAGCTTAGGCTTTCATTAAATGGACCGCCTTATTCACTGAATTCCATGGATATTCCAGTATAACTATTGTTTAGGGAGTACCATTGTCTATACTTTCTCAATGGTGACGGCTGTAGAATTCCTCATACTACTGTTCTTTAAAGGGACAAGTAGTGGATCTATATGGATCAGCCGGAGTGCTACTATACTAACAGAAGCATGATGTGTGGAGTGTTATGCCTTTATGAGTAAGATTACCCTTGGACTACGATTTTTTGGGAGAGTAATGGTGTGAAAGGAGTATCGTCCTGTCTACAACACTCTCGTGTGAATAATACTTCCATTTGAACAGGATATTCTCTGAAGGAGTATTCATGACTTGGAGTACTGTTATGGGGACACTATAGATGTATGTATAGTACTCATATCTAAGGATGCCTGATATGGCTTGTACGATGCCATTTGATAAGTGCCGAAGTTAACCCGGTATTATTAAGTAAAGAGAGGTGCAGAATTTATGACTTAGCTTTGTGCCGTATGAGGAGGTTCCACCGTTACGCAACGTGTGAAAGTTGCCGTAGTACCTCCGTATAGAGGGTACCTTTATGTAGGACACATGGATGTGTGAATTGCATTGTTAGTTCAAAAGGACTAATGTTATGTATAGAGTAGTTTTTCCTGATGAGTACAACTGTCCTTGGAATAGCATTATTTGAAGGATCTTCATGTTGGTATAATGGCTGGATGATATGACTTGGGCGATTCTGCAGATGCGACAAGTGGCCTCCAATCATTTTATCTAAACAGTAGAGCTATGCCAGGGGTACTATAATGTTAACCGTATTATTGTGTCAAGAATACTGATATTCGAGGTGTGTCATTATTCGTAGTGTAATATTCTATGTAAAACAGTGCTGTGTGAGGAGGAAAATTGTTTAAGATAATACAAAGGTTTGGAGAGTCGAATTCCATGAGGAGGACGGCAGTTGTAAAGATCATACGATTTCACCAATACACTGGCTTGTAAAATAATTCCATTCCAGGAATACCCATATATCAATCCTAAGGCTATTCATGCTGTATAAGAAACTGAGGGATACTATCACTAAAAAGGGTTTCAGCATACCAAGGGTGCTTATATATAGGAACAACTTTTTATAGGCGAAGTAACACTGTGACTACAGTAAAACATCGTGAACTGTGATTATTCCTTCTCAATATTATTGTAATATAGATTCAATAATTATCCGGGTACTATTAAGAAACAATGATTACGGAGGATTTGCTCACCTGTCTTAATCTGTAGTATTTTCCTCTTGACAAGACTCAAAATCGATGCGGTACTATTAAGATATAACAATTATGTGAAGTGAAGGATTAAAATTCTTATACCCTAGGGAGGAATAGGAAATTATAAAAGGAATAGTACTATATAGAACGAGCTGTTTCTCGTGGAGAGTTAGGAATAATAGTAACATAAAGCGAACGAAGGGGATAAAGTGACCATAAGAATAAGAATACACATAAGATATTAAACAATCATTAATCTAAAAAGGGGGGGAAGCAATCATATAGGAGCGGATGACTATAATAAAGTGTATATAGGAGTACAGCTGACATATTTGAGAAAATTATCTACTACGGAGAACGGAGAGAGATATATGTAAGACCATATAAATATACGAAGAACCAGTGGAGATATAAACCTAACGATCAAAGGGGAAATGCCTAAAAAGAAAGATACATAATTAATACCTACGGAGGAGACAACACGAGAACAGACGATACAAGGAAAGATACTCAGGGGATGAAGATTATACACTACACCCAAAGCATAGAATCCAGGAACACAGTAGGGGTGACAAATAGGGAATGATGTGAGCAGAAGAGTTTTCCCTCTGACAAGATAGGTATATGGAATCGAGGGTTTCATGTTCTGTAACATATAAACAGAGGAATAGGGACAGATAATATTTTGAATCTGTGCTGAGTTCATGGAGTATAAGAAGTCGTACAGTAACTTCATTTTTGTCTGTATCTAAAACTATAGATGATGCTATAACGGGCGTCTCCTTACTCACGACAGGAGGATGTAGAATGGTAAGTGGTATTCATAACCCCTTTTATGCATAAGGGAGTATAAGCCTATACGATGCATACATTCCCCTATTGACATAAAGACATGTCCTATAAAGGAGTCTTACACCACCATAGAGTTATGAGGTTCTTCTGAAAAATGGGAAGAAGTGAATAAATACATGATCATTTTGGCAGTGATATGGTTTTTATATGAGTTTTAAGTGTAATGCTATATGGGCATATAGACGATAATAGAAAAGTTCCATCAATAATGAGTTAAATAGTTCTATTAACCTATTGTGTGTTATTCCACGTGATTAATTAACCCGAATTTTCGAGTGTATTGGTGAGTTATTGTGGGGATAATCTGAATAAACAAGGAACTCTTTATGTTTCGATACATTATTATAATATACATTTACCCACCACGTGGCAAAAGAATAACTGTTTAAGTAGCTGGATACAGAATGTTGTGGCTTATAGGATATTTTCTTTGCTATATAGGATATCATGGAGAAGGATATGGAGACGAATGTCATGAGCTGCTAACAAATGGATAACCCGGGGGGTAGAAAATAGCGGAGAAGCATCATATAATGGTTAAAAGTTACTTGAAGGAAGATAGTGTATATAATAACAAAAAGGAGAGACAGAAAAGAAGAAAGAAAGGAGAGGAGAGAAGGAGAAAGCAATATTGGAATCACGCCATAAAAAGAGAGATTAAGAAATACGAGGCCATACATGAGAAAATGTAGTATAAAAACGAGGAGCCAGTGAAAGCACAAGGACAAGAAGATAAGACCGGATAGGAAGTGAACAAGGAAAGGCACCCTGTGAACCGTGAACCACGCTTAATAGACCAGCTGAGAGAAGAACTCGTATGAGGAGAAAGATCACATAAACATCTTTAGGATACTCAGTATAAAGTACTTACTGAGGGAGGGAGCAGCGGCTAAAACGGCTGCCCGAAACAGCTAGGCACCAGAGGAGTAAAAGAACGAGCAAGAAGGAGATATCCAGATTTTAGCAAAAGTATGACTCTAAAAGGAAAAAGCATCTGCCCAGTATACAATCGAATATTATGAAGGAGGAGGAGACTAAGAGGCAAGCAACAGTAAGTTACCAAAACAGGACCGGCGGTGAAATGACCAGGGAAAAATAACTCCTGACAATAGAGATGTGGGAGGGAATAAAGGTATCCGTGTTTACAGGAGTCCCAAACCCGAAGAGAACTTTGCATTAGCTAGGATTCTATATTATTAGGACATTATCCACAAGGAAAGAAGAAGGAAGGATAGGAGTACCGAAGCCGTAAGGATAATACTAGTATATTTGACAAGGACCAGTCAAAGGATAATAACAGCAAGTGTAGGATGAATAACGATCCATATATATGGATGGCCCCGAGAGGAAGAATTCACTAATGAATATATAAGAGAAATCTCGATTAGAAGGTTAGTAAAGAAATCTCCAACCCAGTAAAAAGCAACACCTTGATAAGAAACCGAAAAGAGGAAGAACAAGTGGCCCTTATGAAGTGATGTAGGGATATATGTATATAATCGACTCGTAGTGGATGGAACCGAGAAACTAAGTCCTAAAACGGGAAGCCAGAAAATCCAATCTATGATATAAGCAGCAGCAGGAGCCACACGGCAGCGACAATTGCACCCTAAGGGAAGCCTCTAAAAACCAACTAAAGAGATACAGGGGGGTTAGATAACGATAAGGAAGCCAAAACAAATAAGAGGAGGGAGGAGGAACGAAGTGAGGGAGGAAGTAAGGAATAACCGTATTTTTAGGCAGAGGAAGTCAAGAGGATGCTGTCCGAGAAAATCCAGGAAGCACCCCAGAAGAATGAGAGAAGGGCGAAAAGAGGGGCAAGAGTAAATAGGAAGCAACCGGTGGGACCCTGAGCAATCCTACATTAAAATGGCAGAGGATCAGGATAACGCTATCTACAGCGGTAAAAGTTAGCATAGGAGGGCAAATACTTAGCAGGATGAAATAAGAGTAGAAGGAGAGGGCCATCCCCCAGAAGCAGACAAGGGAAGGGAGGAAAACACAACAGACAGAACAACAAAGAACGAGAAGAATTATTTCCAACAAAGAGGATTTAGGAAAGCAGGAGATAATAAAAGTGAAGTTAGCAGGGTTACGACACCAAGATGGAAGGGAAAGAAGAAGGCCATACAACGCAGCGGATAGAGGAGTGGCACGGCAGTATATAGGAAGGACGGGTAGGAGGACAAAACGAATTAGGGCTGAACCCCGGAAATGCAACAACCCAGAAGAAGTGGCGTAGCAGGGCCCAGCATAAACCGTAGAGTGAGGGAGGCAGAGAATTACCTCAGGCGAATCAACAGGGAGGAGCAACCCGAAACCCAGGAGAGAATAGATTACTTAAAAGCCCCGCCTCGGCGAGATCTGAGGGAAATAGAGACCGGAGCCGGGATGATCCGGACAGTAGGGTTTAGACTAAAACAGCAATGCCACGGAGACAGGGGAAGGGTATATCCGAAGAAATAAGCTTCTAAGTCTAGGCTTCCTACTATAGATAAGCGCCAAGAATAACCTCCTGGGGAACAAGTTCAGGCCAACTCTTCCGTGACCCCCCCAGCCTATACTCATGAGACGCAGCACAGGGGTAGAAAAGGAGCCTCAGCAAGACTAGGAAACAAATCCAGGGTGAAGAGCAGGCCTCACCTGAATACTAAGAGAACCATTAAAGAGACTGGGGGTTGAGGAGTATGATCAAAGAAGGACCAGACAGTCAGCACCCTCCCCCGATCATGATAGAGAAGCCTTATACACGGAATATGACCTCCAACTCCCAGGAAATAACAAGAAGAATAGCCACAGTGGCTGCTACCCCACAAGAACAGGCCTAAGGAGGCAAAGTGACACAATGGAGGGCTGATTGGCCCTAGCGGAATTATATGGGGCAAATCTTTATTTGACGGGGCAAAAAACCAACCGACTAAAAAGGAATCCCTCAGGACCCTAATCGCCCTGGGGCTTCCCCACTGGGAAAGAACAAGTGGGAGAGAGTATAGGGTTGACGAAACCACAATTCCCACCGCACTAGGAGCCGGAACTTTTTAACACCTGACAGATATAACTGAGAAGGGACAAATAAGATACTCATCCAAGGCGGGATATGAACGGACGAGTACAACAAGGGGTGGGGGGGCAAAATCTACCACAACCACCTGGACCAAGTGGGGAAGCCTGAGGGACAGTAGGATAACAGCGCGACTCTAAGGAGAAGTGCAACTAGAGGGGAGGCGCCAATTTGCTGGGATTCACGAAGGAACCGAGACGAAGTCAAGTAGAGGATGATCAGATTAACTGCAGTTGCGGAAAGGAGCCTATTTTTAGGCTAGCGTGGTATAAATGGATCCTTCATAAAAGGATGAGAGAGACTAAGATTCCTGAAAAAGAGTGCGTTGAAAACTCAGTCTCAGTGACTGGTTCTCTGCACGGAGACATTATAAGCCTCAGATCAAAATTCTAAGAGGAGATTGATTCCCGCGCGACGTCAGCAGACTACAATGGAATCTTTTCTAGGAAAAACTGACTGAAGAGAGTTTCTTGATCCTAACAATTGATTAGATTAGGGATTCCTGTAAGAGAAGAAGCCGGGTATCTTTCAAGAAGCCCAAAAGGGAGGGAAACAGTGTTTCCTTAGACGACTGAACCCAGGTCTCCCGGAGAATGAAACAGACGGGGCAGGATTCACCTAGGCTCAGATATCAGATTCGAAAAAAGAAAGGACTTCGGCACCCCTTTTCCTGAGGAAGCTGGAGCAATGGGGTCAGAGGAATTCGATAATAAGGTGAAACCAAGATAGTATACGAACCACACAGAGAGGGAGGGGGAGAACCAATAACCTCACTTCCCCCACTGCAGACCGACAACTTAATGAAGGAATGGCGAGGTCTCTGTGTCTTAGACTGATGTAGGGGTGGAACAGAGAGGTATTAGGAACACAACTAAGGTCCACGTCTTCGGAGAAAAAACAGGGAGGAATATGAGGCTCTAAATTGGAAGAAACCAAACAAGAACCCCCCGGAGTGTCTAGGGAAAAACTCTGAATTCGTTCCGCCAAAGGGAATAATAAAGGGACACTATAACGGGCGAGCGAAAAGAACGGAGACAAGACATAAGAGCAGGACAACTGATAGGAGAGATGAAGTCAGAACGGGTCTCACGAGCGGACCGATTTCTATTTATAGGATACAGTTTCGCAGCCAAGAAACTGCAGGCCCTGGGACATGATAAGCCTAGTTCCAGGCATAAAAAGAGCAGTGTGAGAAATTTCAATACAACAACAACCAGCTTACCAATCTCACGGGGCAATCCCCGACAGAAATTCCCCATAAGGTGGGGGGAGGACCCTCCACCAAGGTTGCCTCCCTAGAGGAAGAGTAAGGAGTGCAACATATGAGTTGCCCCTAAGGAGGAAGGAACCATTACCCTAACAGATCCCCACAGTGGAGGCCGCGGAGGGTAAGGAAGCCTGAGGAGAGGAGGCATAAACGGGGAAGGCACCCACAAAGGAGGACAATCCCTAAGGCAAGGTTAAAGAACAACAGTGAGTAAATCGTAAGTCGTGTCTTAACTTCTGAAAGTAAGCTAAAAACAATCCTAGAGAAAAGCGGCCTTCAATTGAAAGCTCACGATCCAATATTTCACTTAGGGGAAATTGCCAAAATGAGTGAAGATAAAATGAGAAATAAGGGGGGAGCTAGTAGAGGCGATAACATGTATAATGAATAACGGAGAGAGGGGACCAGAAATTTCCTAAAGGAGAAACAATTTCCCCCTAGGTATCGATTCACGAGAAAAAGACAGTTCACCTGCGGAGAAGGAGACCTCGAAAGAATAGGTAAGTGCTTCAACAGGAGTTACAATTTATTTCTCTGGAGGATGTTAAGAAAGGGAGAGAATGAAAGACCCCGCAATCATATAAAACGTATAAATCGTGATTGGGGAGCGTTAACCAACTCAACTGCAAACAGGGTACAGCCGTGCGTAAAGGCAAGGCACGACAGGATTATTAATTGAGGAACGAATAAAGCATCAAGGCAAAGAAGCGGGATAAAAATATACAGCTTAAGGGCATTGGACTGAAAATGAAGAGTCCGTTAATAATAGCTAATGTGAAGGGGACCTATAAGATAACAGCAGACGAGGAAACAAGAGTATTCCCCTGACCCGGAGAATACGAAAATTCTGTAACTTTCGAGGTAATCCGAAGGAAATAGGGAGGAAGAGGATTCCTTTAGGGGGGAGGAGCAAAGACGCCTAAGTCAGGAGGGGGGGTGGATAGTCTTGGTGCAATTAGAATCAAAGGGGGCCAAAAAAATAACTAGAACAGGAATCCTAAATCCACAGATGATAGAATACCTCTCTTATTTACCTATCCACGCAAGATAAAAATATGAAAGATGGAAACTAAATGATAAAGCATTCCAACTGAGGTGCCCTAAGTCAGCATAGGCAGAAGAGGCTAATAGGACAGAATAACAGACCAGACAATATACCACTAGAGTTAAGGAAACAGTAGAGCGACAATACAACACCACAACAACCCCATCCCACTAAGCGCCGAAATATTTCGTCGAAATGTGAGGCGGGGAAGTATAAACGGAGTAAGATTAATAAAAGTAAGAAGAAGAAGGCTGCGAATAATAAAAAAACGTCAAAAAAGCCGCCTTACCCCCTCAGGGTCTCCGAAGATCAGTGTAAGGAAGCGTTGTGTCTAGATTAGCTAGGAGTGCTAAGTACTAGATTTAAGCCATAGAGAGAGGCTTATAGGAACAAACAACAAAATTTGGAAGGGAGGGAACGATAACCAACTAAGCTTATATATAACCGTATAAGGACTGTGTGGCACCCAACGGATTCAACACGTCGAGTCAAAATCACAGGATTATTTATGGGATTAGAAGAAGAGGGGGTAATAGTGAGCATAATCGAGATCACTCCAAGGGAGCCTTTATAGGGTCCATACATGATAATATCAGATTTAAGTAAGAATAACATCACCGACAAGCAATGGATTCAGTCTTTCCATATGAAGAATCATTAACTTCCCAACAAACAATACACGATGAGCGGGGCTATCCTGCCTCGGCAGTGAGGCTCCTTAAGCCAGGCCACTAGAAACGTCGTCCCAACAACAGAACTAGAACACCAAACCGGGAAGGGGGAGGAAGCGGCGGATGAGGAAGACTCATACCCCTTTGGAAACCCCAGGGAACAGTGGTCAAGTATAAATTTCGTACACCTAAGTATATCTCAGAGTACATTATCTATTATAGGTCAGCAATAATCTTAAGGCTTAGAAATTTAAGAGAAGCATGAGAAGGGGGGGGCAGGTAATAAAGGAGGGACCCACAACCCCTAAGGGGGAGGAAGGGTTCCAATAAGCAACGGCACGACCCTCAGAAGTCTGAGTATAATAGGCACTATCCAAGTAGCTTCTATACTCAGTAACATAATCGGATGGACTGATCCACAGTGGCCAGTTGACTAATCTAGCAGGCAATCTCATAAAAATTCCTAGCTGGGGCAGGCCCGGACGAAGCGTTATTCGCAGCAATCCCAAGTGCTATCGACTTAAGGAAGGTTGAGTAAATAAAGGCGAGATTTAGGGGACTTTTTAGAGTATAAGTAATCTGCATATCCCCACTAAGGTGAGATATAATTTCATATATATGGAAAGTTCAGCATAGGGAAAAGAGGAATGTGGGGACCCCCAATGGTAAAGAAAGTTAAAGTCCCAAAGGGACTAGGGCCTAAGTCTAGAGATGCTTAAAGAGGGAGAGTGTGAGGGACTCAGCATTACAGGAATTCCAAAATACCCCTCCTATAGAAGGAAAGCGGCGAACTACGAGGGACTAATCAGTAACCAGGTCAATTTCGAAGTTCGATCGCCGAGTAAACCGTTAATCCTAGGGACCTATACCAAAATCTTAGGGAGAGAATATTAATGCATTCCACAACTCACGCGTTAACGTAGAGTCCAAAGCGAACGGGAAGATACTCTCCCCGCAATTTAACAGATCCGCGTATATGATAGGGGGGAAGAATAGTCTATATATAGGGAGCTGAAATTTAGAAGATTCAGATGCAAGCCAAAAAATTAGGTAACAGAGTGACAAGATTAAGAGAGTCAAGGGAAGACAGTGGAGGACGGCACAGAAGTGTCCCTAAAGAGACCCATAGGAGAGTTCAAATGAAGGATTTCAGGACCCTTCCTTTCTCTCAGTGTCGAAATCGCGTTAAGTTAGTTTAGGGCGAGGGAAAAGAGGGATTATGCACAAGTCCAGGGAAGTGAATTATACTCCTTGGAGGATCTCCCTGGAAGCAATCGAACTAGGTAAGTTATTGAAGGGGGAGAATCGGGAAGGAAAGTACCGACGGCGGCGATGCAGATCCTTTTAGGTGGAAATAGTTGAGTTATGGGATATTCCTGTACGGATGTAGAGCCCTATGACAGAGTGGTCCAAGTATCAGGCAGAGAGAGAGGATCCTCATGAAATCTCAGAGTGGAATCTCCGGGCATATAGTCTAGCGGAGAAGAGAACTCCCTGTAGGGACATATATGCAGGTAGGCAAACTACCTCTGAGGACTGCAAGAACGATGGAAAGGGGGCTCGGTCTCCTAGTGCAGGACTCTCTCTGAGCATTATGAGGGACAATAATTGGGAAAGTTACCATCTCACGCCCGATGCCTGGGGACAGCCTTGGAACCCCTAAAGGGCCAAATATGCAAAGCGGGAGGGTGAGAAGGGTGAGGAGAGCCTCCTCTCGTTGGTGGGGGAATAGGTTTCCAGACCGTTCAGTGATGCCCGGGAGGCCAACTCATAGGGAGTCTTATTAAGGCTAAGGGGATCTAAGCCGGATTGATTATCTCGCATGAAATTTTTGGAGCCAATTGGCAGACAAAAGGATCCAGGAAGCCGCAGCTCCTGATACGTAAGTGGCGTTTAACATCACCAGTAGAGTATAGGTCTTAACGAATTTTAACCAGCAAGTATCTATCGACCCCAGCGGAAGACTTCACATATCCTTTATCGGGGTAATAATAACAGACGTGAACTGGAATAAGGCAAAAGAGACATAATGGCGGGCCTCTTAGAACGCTATCTCAACCAACTCTTAGATAATGCGGAAGTGAAGAGCTATTGTAGACAGTTCCTGACCAGCAAACCAGGAATATGTAGATTTATCAATCCCAGTCGCACCGATCCTCACGAGAGAGTGAGTGAGTGGGTATATAATCCCACAGGAGCTTGGGATGAGGTGAAAAATAAACAGGGAATATATTCATTAACCAGAGGGGCCTGTATAGATATAAACAACTGGTTAACCACCTTATCACCCCAAGAGGCCGCGAACTCAAAAAATCTATATGCAGGTTGTCAATATGACCAATACAGGAATAATAGAAAATTAACAGATAACACAGGCAATTGTCAGCCAAAAAAGGAGGCAAATAACTGGGCTGATTACAGCCAGAGTAGGACTCTATCCTTGTGGCAAAGTCACCAGAAATCCTTACAGGTGTGCATGGACATAATGAGGATAATATTATTAGAATTAGGTCTAACCGTGAGTGGAGCCAGGGTAAAAATTGATGAAGGAGAAGGTTCTAACAGGTGTGGAAAAATATACACGTCACTAGAGAAGTGGGGAGGGACCTGGGTCGCGCGGAGTATAATGAAGCAATGGTTCGCAGTTGATGACAAGCACCAAAAACTCCAACAAAGTTTTGCTTTATCTGGGACAGATCTCTACGAAGTTATGACAGAGCAAGTATCAGGGGTACATAAGGGTGACAAAGAAACCGAATGTCTTCTGGAGGGGACTTCTCAACCCGGGGGCCCACTGTCCACAGTGGTTTATAAAACAAAAATACGGGAGGATATCAAAGGGACCGAAGATACTCGCCATTCCTTTCAGGTTATATGGGAATCGATGACGAAGAAAGCAGAGCAGGTAAGTAAATGATTCATCAGACACAAGAAATCAAATAGTTCCCTCCCAAGTGCATGTTTAAGATTAGCAACAACCGGGGGAATCGCCAAATGATAATGATTACTTATACTCTTTCAGTTAATAATAATGATTAACCTTATGGTACCTTATAGGAGCAGGAACAAGTGAACGAGATACATGACTCCGACAACCAAGGCGGAGGAATAATCTGGGGAATAATCCCAAGCCTAATACTAGCAGGGGCCAGTGGTTATGGAATATACAGAATTATAAAAACAAAAAAGTCTCCAAAGGTCAGAGCTACCATGAAAGGATCAACCAGGGAGCTACCCCTTACAGCGAACTCTACAGTGAGGAAAGACTTGTCTTATGTCAAATCAAGTATCTGACCTCCCTCCAATCAGAGAGATGCACAGGAGGAAGTACGGAGGAGGGAAGAAATTGATGAGGCCTATCCCAGGGGCCCCATAGTGATAAGCAGGAGGCCCAGATCGCTGTAGAATTGTAGTGATACTTAATGATAAGGACAACTAGGAGTAAGAGTGCAATTGGACAGTAATAAGATATAGAATACGATGCCGAAATTCAAGAAGTTGGAGCCTGGAAGGAGAAGGGTTATTTGAAGAAGAGATCATCCCCGGATTCCAACCAAGGAGACACACCCCGTAATCTCCCGAAACCAACGGGGGCCCCCCAGATAGACTCAGTGGCTTCAGCCCTAAGGAAGGAGCACAGAATTAGCTGCAGCTCCCCACTAACATCAAACCGGAAGGTGAGGCTAAAGAATCAAACTGTTGTCCAATATTCCGAAGTCTGAGCAATGACAGGGGGGTCCGATTAGGAGAAGGGAACGAGTCAGCCATATCCCCCTTGAACTCACGACAAAATGGAGACAAAGGGTCATTGCAACCGAGGGAACATCGAGCAACGGGCGAAGGCGGGGGCAGACTCAGCGATGGTTTAAGCCTAGCCGGGGGGAATTCGGTGAAGGCAAGGGCGGATTAGGGATGAGACATACGGGAAAGGAGTCTCGGGTTCAATATTTGGCCTGGGGGGGTGGAATAACAGTATGGGGTTTCAGTTTAGTCCTTAGGCTTAGGAGTCTAGGATTCGGCACGTTAGGGTTTGCGATTTGGAGTTGGGGGTTCGGGGGCTAGGTTCTGGTGGTTCAGGATCCAGTGGGGGCGTGTGTGGGGGGGTTTGTGGTTGGTGCTTTGTGGTTTGTAGTTTAGGTTTTAACAGAACTTGCGTTAAGATTTTGTTTTGAGGGTATATGCTATATGATTCTGCAGTGCGGGGAGGGGGGTTTTACGGGGTAGGGATTACGTTAAGGATTTGTTCCTTGGCTTAGTCTTTACATTTTGGAGTTTTGGCTTTAGGGTTTAGCTTCTTGGTCTATGGTTTATGCCTCACGCTTTAGGGTTCTCGGATTATTTTCTTGGTTTAGGGGTTAGGGGTCACGGTTAATTGTTTCCAGTTGGGTGTTTAGGGTTTGTGGTTTTTGGCTTTAGCTTTAAGGTTTAGGATTTAGCTTTAGGATTCTGGATTCAAGTACTTATATTTAGGCTTCAGGGTTTAGGTTTAGGGTTTCAGGGTTCAGGGTTTAGGTTTATGATTCAGGGTTTCAGGTTTTACGTTTCAGGATTCAGGTTTAGCGTTCAGGGTTTAGGTTTTCAGGTTTTGGTTTATGGTTCAGGGTTTAGGTTTAGGCTTCAGTGTCTACGGTTTATGGTTCAGGTTTCACGGGTCACTGTTGAGGTTTTAGATTTTAGGGATTACGTGTATCGTTTATGATCTGGGGGGGAGGCTTCTGGCTTTTTGGATTATGGTTCATGGTTTCACTGTTCAGTTCTTCCGGTTCACGCTTTAATGTTCCGGGTTTCACGCTTTAGTTTTAGGGTTCAGGGTCTATTGTTTCGAGTTCCGCTTCAGTCCTTAGAGTTTCAGGGTTTTGGGTTCAGGGTTTATGTTTTTTGGCTTAGCGTTTAGGGTCTAGTTTTACGGTTTACGATTTGAGCGTTTAGGTTTCAGGGTTTATGATGCAGGGTTGTGGTCTTAGGGTTCAGATTTAATCTTTAAGATCCAGGTTTTATTCCTCACAATTCAGAGTCTCGACTCTATGGAGTTTTTTTTTTGGAACCCTATTTTTAGCGGTCATCGCTTACGGCTCACCCCGGCAGGTTCAGGATTTCTGGTTCAGTGATTAGAGATATGTTTGAGCTTTAAAGTATGGAGGTCAGGAACTTAATATTTAGGGCTTACTGTCTATTAGTGGGTGATCAGTCTCGAGCCCTCTGGTTCTATGTTTTAAAGTCTCTTCATTAACATCTCAGATTCTGTGCACTGAGATGTCATGGTGCTCTTTGTATCGTTCAGTTGTTAGAGATTTGTTTTCAGCTATTAATGTGTATCCTGTTAGGGCTTGTCTGTTAGGCATCAGTCTTTAGAGGTTAGTGCCAAGCTGTTACTCATCAGGACTTAGCCTTCAAGGATAATTGCAGATATCTTACGAATCAGATGTAAGGAGGCATCCTTAGGGTGCCCCGCCTATTGGTTTAGTTGTACGGATTACTGCTGAGGTTTGGAGATCATCCTTGGATGTTCACGTCAGAGTGTTTAGGAGCACATCCTGCGGCTTATGTATAATTTCTCAGGTGTTAGGGAGCACGGTTTATGGTTTAGTTGTGGGGATTAGGATTGCTGTGTTGCACGGTACGCTGGCGTGTGTTGGGGTAGGCGTCAAGTTTCCACAGTTAGGGAGCTGTCTGTATTTTTGTATGAGTTGTTGTCATTGCTTCTTCTCATATTGATGTGTTGGGGGTGTCTATTTAGTTGTTAGTGTTGAGTCTCTATTGATTTGTTTCTTGGCTTTATGTTTAGTGCTTACGACTCAGCCATTGCTTGTATTGTTCAGGGTTTACTCCTCGAATTCTAGGGCTGACATATAGGTTTATCCTTTATGGTGTCTGCGTCTGGCTTATGGCTAAGCCTGTACAGTTTTTGATTTAGGCTCAGTTCTTTCGCTTGTCATTCAGGATTCCGTCGACTTCCCTTAGGTTTTAGTGGTTTAGCCCGTACGGTTTAGGATTTTGAATTCTTCTTTCAGTTTCTAGGATTGTAGGTTCATGTTCGCGGTTTTAGGAGGTAGGGTTCATGCTTCATGGCTTAACTCTTAGGTTTCTTCTCGTTTGTTCTTAAGAGTTACCATTGAGTTGTTATCATTCTGATTTTACTTCTTAATCCTTATGTTGCAGGGTTTATGGTGTATGGTTACCGTGTCTGATCTAGTCCTCAGTGCTTTAGCGCGTAGTCCTCATCTGTACCTTTCCTTATTTAAGGGTTGGCTTAAGGTTTTTTCCCTACGTGTTATATAGGAGTCGTATAATCATCTTAAGTTCTACGATTCTTAGTCTAATATCTATGCTTCAGTCTCTGTTTTTGTTGTGTACAATCTGACTTTTTGGCGTTTGATTCCTGTGTCTACTCTTCTGTAACTTGGCGTTTAGAGATCAGTCTTTATCTGTACAGCTGTCCGTCCGGGTTTCCGGATTCAAGGCTGTTCTCCTTCTATTTCTCCAAGGTTTAATCTCGGCGGTTTACGTCTGTGCCTCAGATTCCATATTATAGGACTTAGCTTTGAGGATCCAGTGTGCTGGATTCAGATCGGTTCCGGAGCCTCCAAAATTTTGGAGGAAGGGTTCTGGTGGTTTGGTTCCAAGTATGAGGTCTTACTCTTTACTGCGGGGGGTGGAGGGTTATGGGTGGGGGGGTTCCTCTGTATGGTTTATCTACTATCTCTATAAGTTCTGGCTCCATTTTTACTTGTTATGGGCTATCTGTATGTGTAGGGCATTGGGTTCTGTTGCACGGTTTCCTCTTCGCGTCTTATAGTGTACTTTTTACTGCTTTAGATGTATGGCGCGTTGCCTATTGTCTATCTTCTATTTGGAAGGTATAATTTTTCCGTCTCCGGGGTTCAGGCCTTATGATTTATGCCTTATAATTTCGATGCGGCCTGTTCTCATTATGACTTCATCTTCTACGGTATCTTCCTCATCCTCCTTTTCTAATATGCACATTTATGCTGTATGTCTATCTTGCACAATTACTGATTGCACTTCTGAGTCTATGCTTTAGGAGTTGATGGCTTATGTTTCGGTGTGTATACTTATTGGTTATCCCCTCTTTGTCTATGCTTAATTTCCTATGCTTCTTCCTTTGGGGTCTATTCTTTAGCCCAGAATTCTTAACTTTTCGATTTTGGATTCAGCTGTTCGACTCTAATTTTCTTCCCCCCTTTGTTATTTTGTAGGCTTTAACCTCTCTTGGGCTCGTCTTATGGGTTCTCCTTTATGTATGATGAAGTAAACTTCAGGTTTCATGCACTTCTTTCCATATGCAATGCTCAGGCGTGGAGATTGGGGGTGTATATTGCAGGGGTATTTTGTCAGTTCCTGTCCCCTTCCCTTATCATATGGTTGTAATGGCATATTGGTTATGTTGCCTTTTTGGCCTGTTTCCTTATTCTTTAGGTTCTTCCGATTATGGCTTATTTCAGTTGTTTATCACTCATTCTTCCCCCTTTCCTAGCCCTTCGTAATCCTGAGGGGTCATACCTCAGGGAGTACTGTTAAGGAGTAGATTTGTCTCTATAGGGTTTACTTGTACTCCTGGGCATGTTGCCCTGTATTTTACGGAGTGAAGCCGTACGTTGTACGCTGGTGTTTCAGCTGGGTCCTATCCAGGTCAAGACCTGGGGGGTGTATCTCTCTTCTGTGGGGTGCCATTCTCTATCGTTCACTCTGTAGTTTTTAATATTTTGGATTAATGCTGTATTCCTTATCCTCATTGTTCCACTCTGGAGCCTAGTGTTTATGGTCTATCCTCTATATTTACGCCCCCAGGCTCTAGTCTACTCTTGGGGGGCTGTCCTTACTCATTAGTCCTCATTTGTATGGTCTCATAGGTAACTGTATGCGTCTAAGGCTCATTGATCAGGCCTTAGCTGCTCTGTGACCATCCGTACGGTCCTAGGATGCAGGGTTCAGTGCTTGCGCCCTAGGTGCCGGGGTTTAAGCTGCATATTCCATGGTCCGTCCCTATGGTGTATCGGTGATGCTTGTTGCTTAGGGTGTACTGCCACCCTCTAGTGTTTATCCTTACGCTTAATCCCTTGCAGGTGCCCCTTCAGTTTTTTTCATCTGTGTTAGTGTTTATTTGCTAAGGCTTACGATTCTGTCCTGTAGCTTCTTGGTGTACGGCTTAGATATCATGGTTTCTGATTTAGCTTAACTGTGTACGTCTGAGTGGATACGTTTACGATCTACTTGTCTTTGATGAAGTGTACGGTTGCCCTGGCACGATGTAGGTTTACGGTCCATAGTCTATG